CATCCTTATCTTATGCAGTAGCCTCTTGTGCGGCACCTTGTCAAAGGCCTTTTGGAAATCTAGGTACACCACATCCACTGGGTCCCCATTGTCCACCTCGCTCGTAATGGCTTCATAGAATTCCAAAAGATTTGTCAAGCATGATCTGCCCTTCATGAACCCATGCTGCGTCTGCCCAACGGGACAATTTCTATCAAGATGCCTTGCTATTACTTCCTTGATAATAGACTCAAGCATCTTCCCCACTACAGAGGTTAAGCTAACCGGTCTATAATTCCCCATCTTTTGTCTCCTTCCCTTTTTAAACAGTGGCGTCACATTTGCTGTTTTCCAATCTGCTGGGACTGCCCCAGAGTCCAGCGAATTTTGGAAAATTACCGCCAGTGCACCTGCTATTTCTCCCGCCATCTCTTTTAGTACCCTGGGATGCATTCCATCAGGGCCAGGAGACTTATCAATCCTTAGCTCCATTAGCTTGCCCAACACTACCTCTTTCGTAATTATGATTGTTTCCAGGTCCTCACCTACCTTCATCTCTTTATCAATTACTGCCATGTTATTAGTGTCCTCCACTGTGAAGACCGATACAAAATACCTGTTCAATGCCTCGGCCATTTCATCATATCCCATAACTAAATTCCCCTTCTCATGCTCTAAAGGGCCAACGTTTACTTTAGCCACTCTTTTTCGTTTTATATATTTGTAGAAACTTTTCCTATCTATCTTTATATTCTGTGCTAGTTTTTTCTCATGTTCCATCTTACTTTTCCTTATAGCTCTTTTTGTGGCTTTCTGTTGACCTTTAAAGTTTTCCCAATCTTCTAGTTTCATGCTGTTTTTGGCCACCTTGTATGCCTTCTCTTTCAATTTGATAGCCTCCCTTATTTCTTTAGACACCCATGGCAGATTACCCCTTTTCTTACAGTCCTTCCTTTTCAGTGCAATATACTTTTGCTGAGCACTTTGAAAGATTGCTTTGAAAGTCCTCCACTGCTCGTCAACTGTCCCACCATAAAATCTTTGTTTCCAGTTTACTTTAGCCAAGTCCTCCCTCATTCTATTGTAGTTCCCCTTGTTCAAGCACAGGACCCTGGTATTGGATTTTATCTTCACACTCTCCATCTGTATTCTAAATTCAACCATGCTGTGATCACTCCTTCCAAGAGGATCCCTAACTATGAGGTCATTAATTATTCCTGTCTCATTACACAGGACCAGATCTAGAATAGCTTGCTCCCGCGTTGGTTCCATTACATACTGTTCAAGAAAACTATCACGGATACACGCAACGAACTCCTCCTCGAGGCTACCCTGACCGAGCTGGTTCGACCAATCTACATGTAGATTAAAATCCCCCATGATAATTGCCGTACCATTTTTACAGGCATTAGTTATTTCTTTGTTTATTGCCCGCACCAATGTGATATTATTTGGTGGCCTATAGACTACACCTATCAATGACTTTTTCCTCTTAGAATTTCTAATTTCCACCCAAATGGATTCAACCTCATTCTCCATAGAACCTATATCATCTCTCAGCACCGCCCTGATGGCGTCCTTGAATATCAGAGCTACACCACCTCCCTTACCTTCCTGTCTGTCCTTCCGAATAGTCTGGTATCCTTGGATATTTAACTCCCAGTCGTGACCATCCTGTAACCATGTCTCCGTAATGGCTACCAAATCATATTCATTCGCGATGATTTGTGCCGTTAACTCATCAACTTTGTTACGAATGCTACGAGCATTCAGGTAAAGTGCCTTTATGCTAGCTTTCTTACCCTCACGATTTCCAGTACAGTGATTTTGAGTACAGTGATGAATTGTTATAACACATAATTGCTCACGGGGCCCAACCAAATAGGCCATTGTTGAACCATTATCATTGGAACAGATAAATGGTGCAATCTTTTCGAGACTAAATGCAAATTGACACAGAGAACATAAGGTGGAATGCAAGGTTTAGCTTATCATGGAAAGAAAGATTGACCCCATTCGTCCCTCAGGTGAACGTAAAAGATTCAACTTCCCATTAAGTGTATCTGTGCTACGACATCAGCAATCCCTGCGATAATGATTGTCATACTCTGGGTAAAAAAGTTTCTGTGAATTCCTGAATAAATTGATTTGTTTGATTCATGCTGATTAGGTGGCACTGTGGTCAGCACTGCTGCCCAATAACAGCAGGGAACCCAGATTCGATTCCACGCTTGGGTTATTATCTGTGTGGAATGTGCATGTTCTTCCTGTGACAGTTTGGGTTTCCTCCCACAGTCCAAAGAAAATGTGCAGATTAGGTGGATTAGCCATGGGGAATGTGGGGTTATGGAAATAAGGTGAGGGGGATGGGTCTGGGTTGTGCTCTTCGAGGGTCGGTGCAGTCTCATGGACTAAATGGCCTCTTTCTGCACTGAGGGGATTCTGTGATTTGCTGGTTCAGGTCTGCTTCACAAGTGGAAGTAGTTGTCAACTTTGAATTTATCAAACTCTCTTATTGTTTTAAAGACCTGTTTAAGACATGTTTAAAGAACAATAAAATCTAGCCTGTTCAATCTTGTTGGATAAAACCCCTCGGTTGTGTATCATCAGCACTTTCTTTCTACTAATGGGGGCTTTTGCAATTATATATTATCTGATTAATACCAATTTGTTGGAAATTTTCACAAACTCTTGAAGGAGGGGCTGGCTCAAAGTGTGAAGTGGGATCATACACTGATAGATTATCTGTTTTTACACAAAGTGGGAAAAGTGGAAGGAGGCTCAGATGGAGCATAAATGCCAGTATGGAGTGATTGGGCTGAAATGGCTTGTTCATGTTACATGCTTTTGTAATTGTGTTGATCACTCCCCACCCTACCTTTTCTTATTCTCTTGTAGATTTCAGTCTTTGCTGCTTTCTGTATGTATCCCACAATTTTCTTTCTTTTCCAGCATCTGGATTTGCATTCGTGTCCGAAGCCTGCTGTCTTCGTTATACATTCATTTCTCTCAGCCAAAGTGACCCGGATGGGACTCCTAGTGTGAAGAAGGAAGTGGCAGAAGAAATCTTTGGATTCGTGCATTCATCAAAACCAAAGACCATTGCAGCATCTTGGAAAATGTAACCTGCAAGAGTGCAAAGATCAGGACTGGTGGGAGGCCACAGCTCTTGTAAGAATGGGAGGATTCTCACATATGTCTCATTGTGGAACAGAGATCTCCCAATATTGCTGTTTGTTGCCATAAGTGCCTTTTTGTTATTAACTGAACTTCACAAATTTTTACGGTTGTTTTTACTGTGAAGATAACACAGTTTTAACTTTGGAGCATATAGTTTTGTAATTTGATTTAAAAGATCTTGGTATCATGATGCTAGCTGGTTCTGGTGTTATTCCTGCTATTGGTGTAATATCTTGCAATCATGGGGCAGCACTCCCACTTTTGTGGTTGGAACAGGAAGACTGAAATGAGCACAGTATTGTCACTTAAACCAGCAAAACAGGTAGGTGACCTGAAACTCTTCCTAGTATTATGTTAGTTGAAAACGTTATGTTTAAAGTATTCTATGTACCTATGCTTGTAGCAGGCCAGTGTCACCGCAAAGGTATTTCTGATAATGCTGAAATTTCGATTCTGTAGCTGAGTTTCAACACACTGCAAATGTTATTCAGCAGCCTCATGGCCCAGCTGTTGTTACATCTGGATGTAATGTGAACTGGTTGGCCTGTTGACTGAGAGGATATGAACATCCAATTGAACTTGTGTTTTTATTACACCTTGAGTAAAACAGTGAAATTAACAGCCTTGACCCTCCATGCGGTCCTCAATGTTTCCTTACATTTAGATATTTAGAATAATATCTGTCAAAATGTGTTTGGGCTCTCTGTACTGTTCTAATCTAGGAGGCATGGTCTCATAAGTCAGCCCACATTTTTGGCATCGATAATGAAATTGGAGTATCTGAACTGGGAAAGGAGATGAAACCAGTTGTGCAGGCTGCTCTGGCCCACTGGATGAGGAGGGAAAGCCTTTCACACTTTAAAAAAAAAGTACACCTATCTGGAACAACTATGAATATATTCCACAAACTTCCCCTCATTTTCCCACCACAATCTCTGCCTCTGACTAGCTCTTTGCCGTGGTGTGGATGGGGAGGAGCACTTGTTTCTTTGCACTGGTCTCTGCTGCACTGCTGCCTCACAGCGCCAGGGACCCGGGTTCAGTTCCACCTCAGGCAATTGTCTGTGTGGAGTTTGCACATTTTCCCCATGAGTTTCCTCTGGATGCTCCAGTTTCCTCCCACAGTTCAAAGATGTGCATGTTAGGTGGATTGGCCATTGTGTCCAGTAATGTGTAGGCTAGGTGGGTTAGCCATAGGAAATGTAGAATTACAGGGATAGGGTGGTGGGATGCTCTTCAGAGGGTTGGTGTGGATTCAATAGGCTGAATGGCCTATTTCTACACTATAGGTATTCTATTTATAAACAGAGGGCTGTTTATAATTGTACACAGATTCAGCGTCCCTCAATGTGTTGGCCCAGTGGGAGAACAGCTTGGTGCTGTTACTGGGTGTAATGGATGAAGGTCTTGAATCCTGCTGTGTGATTTTAAATACATTTGCGCTTTTTATAAATAGCACTGCAGCATCAAGATTAGATGGTACAGACAGGATGAACTGCATGGTTGCCTTCTGTAACCTAGAGGTTCCCTTTCTAAAGGGAGAATTCGGAATCCAATCTTGAGCTCACATAACTGAGTTGTTTGCTGAATCTATATGGTAAGGTATGCTGACTGTTGGAGGCTTAAAGGTTGCACATTCTGTATATAATGCTGGGTCGTGGGAAAATGCACCACACCTGGCTTTGACTGTTTTTAAGCCATAATGTAGAATATGCAAATCAGATGCAAATTTGCAGGTTGAGCAATTCAGTTACAGTTCGAGGTCTTAAATTCTGACTGTACTGTACTCTATTACCATTTGGTATTACAGTAGAGGTCATGGCAACCTGAGGCCAGGGTGGGTGTTCTGTCTGGACAATGGGATAGAACCCAGGGATGGGTAGAGTTGAGGGGGTAGGGAGACGGTGCGAGAGCAGGGATCTATGTGATTGCTTGAGAAGGTGGTTTAACATTACCACCAGGTCGTTTGATTCTGCAAGAAAGACCAGTTTTGCTGGTTTATTTGCAACTTTGAGCTTTTTAAAAGAATATTTACCCTGACTCTAATCTACTCCATATTTTTGGATTCAATGGACTAAGAGTATGAATGAGTCACATTAAAAGTTGCGATGCTTCCCTTGCATGTTATACTTTGCCCAATGTACATGAGCAATTTATACAGTCTAGTTTGCGTACTTAATGGGGGGAGAAAAGCTATTTTAGGTTTGCTGCTTGATTGCCTTAATGGTTTATCCTGATTTTTGTTCACTTTAAATTTGAAGCATTTGTAGTACAATTGGAAGAAAACTTGGGTCTGATCTTTTTATTAAAAAAAAGCCTAATATTGAATGTAAGTTCCAACCTGTGCTCAGATAGAAGTGTCCGGATCCCATTCTCATTCTGGCACCTTCCAGTAGAACAAGCTGGTTTGTATCATGGTTAACACTACAACAACTCTGCACTTTACATATCTCCTGATGTGCCCCTCATGCTTGAACTGTTCATTGCTGTCATTGAGCAATTTGATTTCTTATTGTCCAAATCACCACCTGCTCAGGTAACTAAACTTAAAAACAAAACAGTGGTCAAACTAAGTATGTCTGGCAGCTTCTATGGAGAGAGAAACGGAGTTAATGAAAATTCTGAAGAGTCATTTTGGACTCAACATTAACTCTGCCCACAGAAGCTGCCAGAGTGTTTTTTTAATCTCCCCCTAGCATTTTCTCTTTCTCATCGATATTTCCAGCATTTGCAATATTTTGCTTTCATTACTCAGGTAACTAACACAGCCTTGCTTTTAATGTTTGCTGTAGAGATGGAGCTCAAACCCACAGATTTGCAAAATAGTCATTTTCAGTTGGGAGAGTAACCTATACTTTGAAATGTGTGCATTGTAAATCAATATTTCAGCAAGTGTGCACTGCCGAATAGATAAGGATAACCTGCTACCTGCGTGCTAACAAAGTAATAACAATGGCACATGATAACTGAGGACAACTTGCAGCTAAATAGCACCTGTACGGGAGCCCAAAGTCCCACAGCATTTCAAAAACATGTCCAGTCAGAGGGCTGGAAATTGAACTGTGGTCCTGGGAAGAGGTTGCTTTGTCCTAACACTGTTTAGTCAGGTCTGACTGGTTAAAAACCTTCATATTCAATAGAGGCGTAATCTGCTCCTGAATTTCGAGGTGCATTCTCTTGCCAATTAAGTTCTATTTTTGTAATTGACTGCTGGTGATTCCCTTTAATTATTGACTGACATACCAAAGTGAATGCCCCACCAGGGCAAGCTGTCCTTGGGCATTCCCCCTCTTGTATTATAGACAAAGGATTGTATCTATACTGGATCTGCAGTGGCAATTCTGTGTACATGTGTATGAATAAAATTATCCATTTTACTTTTTTGTGCTGTATTCGTGTATTTTAAATTTTATTGCTGTATTTTAAAACAGTCTTTTTGGGTATGATGACAAGGTCCCAGTCGATGGGGAAAGAAGCGTGATGGGGACTTTGTCCATTACTTTTCATGGGAAGTAGGTGTCACCAGCAGGACCAGCATTGTCGCTCCATAATTAGCCTTAAGGTGGCGGTGTGATACTGCCTTGAACCACTTGCTGGCATGGTGTAATTGAACCCCAAAATGTTGTTGAGAGTTCCATGATTTTTAACTCCTGGAAAGATGATGAATTACATTACAATTCCATGTTAGGATGGTCTGTGCCATGGGGGAGCACCTGCAATTGATGGTGTTCCCATGCATCAGTTGCTTTTGTCCTTCTAGATGCTAGAGGTTGTGGTTTAGAAGGTGTTATTGATGAAGCCTTGTTGAGTTGCTGCAGTTCCTCTTCTGTGATACACAAGGAACCACTGTGCACCAGCAGGGGTGAATATTGAATGTACTGGATATATTGCCAATCAAACAGGCTGTTTTGGTCCAGAGGACACGGAGCCCCTTGAGTGTTGTTTAATCTGGAGCTACACTCATCCAGGTAAGTGGAAAATATTCCCTCAGATCTTACAACTTGTAGATAATGGATCAGCTTTGGGGAGTCAGAAGGTGAGTTATTTGCCACAAAATTGACTGTCTCTGACCTGCAGTTGCAGCTGCTGTGTGTTGTGGCTGGATGAATTAAGTTTCTGGTTAATGATAGCCCTAAGGATGTGGATTGGTGGGACATGTAGTGATTGAGAGGCCATGAAAAAAAAATACTTGGATGAGCACTTGAAGTGTGACAATATTCATGGCAATGGACCATGTACTAGAAAGGGAGATTAGTGAAGATAGTTTAGCACAGAACAGTTCAGGATGAATGGCTTCTTCTATGTTATACTTCTCTCTTAAATGTCAAAATGAATTGATCAGTTCGAGATGATTAATCCACAGTGAAAGGGTAAATGAAGGTTCTGTGTCAGAGGGGATGACTAAAAAGGAATATAACTATATAACAGTGACCCCAGTTGAGCCAAAGTGAGGGGCATCTGTTCAGTTTGAGAGGGCACTGCACCTATTCCTGCCTTATCTAGCAGATAGGAGTAGACCATTCGGTTCATTGAGCCATTTGTTATTCTACATCATAATCTCAGTACCATAATCCTCTCCCTCTTTTCTCTGATAGCTACCTTGCTGTGGTGGAGAGACTTGCGTATTCTGTTTATCCCAAAAGTTACGTCATTATAAATCTGGTAGCCCCACTTATGATGGTAAGGTCGGAGGGGAGGAACCAGCCAGCTGCACTGGTGGATGGAGGCTGCAGCAGTTGGGAGATCCCCAGCCATCAAGGTTTCCTTGCCACTGGAACTGGATCCACCTTCTACCAAGCACAGTGCGACAACATTCCCACATTTAAAAGATGTCCCACACAAGGTGTCTACCTAGAGAAAAATAGAGCCCATGACCAGTGACATGGAATTTTTTTTTACTTGGACAATTGTTATCAAGCAATTACCACTGACCGCTCTCTCCCTATACCTCTGCCTTTGCCTCAAGAAGTCTATTCCTTTTTAAAACTTATTTAGTGACTTGCTCTATATAGCAAGTGGTAGAGAATATCATAGGTTCCCCATTCTAGGTGAAGAAATTTCTCCTCCTCTCCGTCCCAAGTTCCTTACCCTAAAGCTAAACCCTTGTTATTGACCCACCCCTGTCCGGGGAAACACCATCGCTGCATCCAGTTAGTACAACCAGTAGGACAGGACATTTCCAGGGATGGTGATCGAAGTGTCTGGGGCATTATTAATAAGATGTGATTCTGTGAGAATGACTATGTTGAGGTGACACTTGAAGTGCCATAATATTCAAGACTCTGCACCTAGTGTGGGAAAGTGGGACTTGTGTAGGTAGTAGTGTAGTTTTGGTGGTACAGACTTGATGGGCTGAAGGGCCTGTTCTGTATTGTATGATTCTGTAATGTTGCTTGACAAGTCTGAGAGACAGCTCCCCAATTTTGGCTGTCGCTCTCAGATGTTAGGAAGATTTTACATGATTGGTAAACTTAAATCTGTCAGTGTTTTCAGTGTCTAGGTCCATGCAGGTGGTCTGTTCAGTTTCACTCTTTAGATATCGTAGCAATTTGTGGACATTTTTATGGACTTCAGTAAGGCGTTCAACAAGGTTCCTCATGGTAGAGTGGTTAGCAAGGTTAGATCACATGGAATACAAGGAGAATTAGCTATTTGGATACAGAAGTGGCTCGAAGGAAGAAAAGAGGGTGATGGTTGAGGGTTGCCTTTCAGACTGGAAGGCCTCTGGTCAGTGGTGTATCACAAGGATCGGTTCTGGGTCCACTGCTTTTTGTCATTTTATATAAATGATTTGATGTGAACATAGGAGGTATGGTTAGTAAATCTGCAGATGATACCTGTAAGAGCTGCCCATATTTGAGATACAAAATAGCGGACAAACTGAGTGAAACAGAATTAAAAACCTGCTTCAGCATTTAAGTGAAACAGTGGTACACCTTTGAGAAGGGGTTACTCCAAGGCAAAAGGGAGGATTGTAAGAACAGCAGCTGCGAGGACTTTGTGATAAAGACAGTCTGAAGATTTGTGACAAACACAAATGAACTAGTGGGGCAGTGACTTATAAAAAATCTAGAGGATTAAACTAATTCATTAAACTGCAACAAGTGATTGATTCCAGCCTCATTAATGAAAGGATGTAGTTCCATTAGGTGAAAAGAGTCCGTCAGAATAAGGACAATAAATCTGTCAGCCTAACTCATTGTGCAGCTGTAAAATCAACAGCTAAGTTATTTTGTAATCGGTTTTTAAAAATTTATTCACAATATTAAGAAGTAGGTTCTAATTAAAGATTCTTCAGAGAATCACAGAGATAGATCCCAATGTAATTATAAATACAAGTATACAACAAGATACATTGATATCTCATTAGAATGCAAAGGTAGACGTAGCTCTAATACTTTACATATTTCTAACTTTATAATAGAAATTAATATTATGAATCTTATAGCAGTTGGTTAGAACCAACTATCTTTTGTACTTTTATATATATATATATAATTACGACAGTGGGAAAATGTAACATGAGTAACAGAATTTGATAGAGATAGCAAGGAGTACAATGGGCAACAGAATTCGAGCAGTCCTTAGAGTTAAGCAAATCTGGAATGTGTTTGAAGGAGTACAGCTAGGAACTTTGGAATGTGAATTAGTAGAATGAATATAAAGGTCTCAATGCCTGGAGATTACAATGTCTGTTAAACATCATGAGACCATGGGAACCTAAGGCTGTCCACAGGAGTGTCCTTCATTGATTAGGTGTTTCACAGGATTGGATGTATTGGATAAGGGGAAGGGCACAGTGACCATGTTGTATGTGATTATTGTAAAACAAAATGTATAAAAATATTGTATTTCACTGTAAAACCTAGTGTGTCATTGATCTCTCTTCCAATTTGAGCCAAAGATTAAGAGAACGACTGGGTTTTCATGTAGAGGCCAGATTTGGAGAAGTCTTTGGCCCTCTCCCTGCATTAAACGGTTGTTGTTTGAATAAGAATAAAGACTGCCACATGCCGGAATCCTCCCTGCCTCCTGAGTCTTTGTCCCTGGTCAGGGGGGTTTCACTCCCACAACACCAAAATTAGAGGTGTAGTGGACAGTGAAGAAGGTTACCTCAGACTACAATGGGATCTTGATCAGATGGGCCAATGGGCTGAGGAGTGGCAGATGGAGTTTAGATAAATGTGAGGTGCATTTTGGAAAGGTAAATCAGGACTTAAACACTTAATGGTAAGCTCCTGGGGAGTGTTGATGAACAAAGAGACCTTTGAGTGCAGGTTCATAGTTCCTTGAAAGTAGAGTCCCAGGTAGACAGGATAGTGACGATGGCATTTGGTATGCTCTGCCTTTATTAGTCAGTGCATTGAGTACAGGGGTTGCGTGGTCATGTTGCGGCTGTACAGGACATTGGTGAGGCCACTTTTGGAATTCTGTGCGCAGTTTGGGCCTCCCTGCTATGGGAGCGATGTTATTAAACTTGAATGGGTTCAGAAAAGATTTACAAAGATGTATCCAGGATTGGAGGGTTTGAGGTATAGGGAGAAGCTGAATAGGCTGGGGCTATTTTCCCTGGAGCATTGAAGGCTGAGAAGTGACCTTCTAGAGGTTTATAAAATCATAACGGGCATGGATACGGTGAATAGTCAAGGACTTTTCCCTGGGGTGGGGTGTCCAAAACTGGAGGGCACAGGTTTAAGCTGAGAGGGGAAAGATTTAAAAGGGAGCTAAGAGGCAATGTTTTCATGCAGAGGGCAGTGTGTGTATGGAATGAACTGTCAGAGGAAATGTTGGAGGCTGGTACAATTACAACACTTAAAAGGTATCTGGATAGGTATGTGAATAAAAGTTTAGAGGGATATGGGCCAAATGCTGTCAAATTACACTAGTCTTATTTAGGATATTTGGTCAGCACGGACAAGTTGGACCGAAGGGTTTCTTTCCATGCTGTATATCTGTATGACTGTGGTATAATAATGTCTTGCTAGACCATTTCAGAGGCCAGTAAGAGTCAACCACGTTGTTATGGGTCTGGAGTCACATGTGGGCCAGACATTTCCTGAAAAGGTATTGGTCAACCAAATGGTTTCACTGAAATAAAATTCTGAAGGGCTTGACAGGGTAGGATGTTTTCTATCGTGAGGGATTTAGAACTTGCCACAATTTAAAACCGAGAGGTCTCAACTTTAAGATGTAGATGATGAGAAATTTGCTCAGCCATTAGTCTTTGGGATTCTCTTCCCAAAGAGCAGTAGATGTTGCATCATAAATCTAACTCCGCCTCAAATAGATTTTTCTGTTGATAAGGCCTCGAGGATTATGTGGGGACGAACAGATGAGGTTAGGACCTAACCAGACTGTCCATGATCTTATTTAGCCCGCTGTACCATTCAGTGGGCCAAATACATACTCCTGAATCTTATGATCTTGTGACCAACTCTTGCACCGTATGAGCGTATACAAATTTATATCTGGCACTTCACTGTGATGTACAATATAATGAGGGACATGGATGCAGTAGACAAGGAAGACCACAGACAATACAAAAATTGGTGGGTAGTAAATAGTGAGGAGGATAGCCTTAGATTACAGGAGGATGTAGACAGGCTGGTCAGATGGGCTGTTCAGTGGCAAATGGAATTCAATTGGGATAAATGTCAGGTGATGCACTTGGGCAGGACAAATAAGGCAAGCGAAGACATGATGAACTGTAGGACCTGAGGAAGTACTCTACTTCGCGCCAATTGGAAACACCCATTTATTCCTACGAAACAACAAGGTGCAGGGCTGGATGAACACAGCAGGCCAAGCAGCATCATAGGAGCAGAGAGGCTGATGTTTCGGGCCTAGACCCTTCATCAGAAAAGGGGAAGGGGAAGGGGGTTCTGAAATAAATAGGGAGGGAGTGGAAGGCAGAAAGAAGATGGATAGAGGAGAGGAAACAAACAGGTCGAAGAGGCGGGGATGGGGCCAGTCAAGGTGAGTGTAGGTGGGGAGTTAGGGAGGGGATTGGTCAGTCCAGGGAGGACGGACAGGTCAAGGGGGCGGGATGAGGTTAGTCGGTAGGAGATGGAGGTGCGGCTTGAGGTGGGAGGAGGGGATAGGTGGGAGGAAGAACAGGTTAGGGAGGCAGGGACGAGCTGGACTGGTTTTGGGATGCGGTAGTGGGAGGGGAGATTTTGAAATTTGTGAAATCCACATTGATACCATTGGGCTGCAGGGTTCCCAAGCGGAATATGAGTTGCTGTTCCTGCAACCTTCGGGTGGCATCGTTGTGGCACTGCAGGAGGCCCAGGATGGACATGTCGTCTGAGGAATGGGAGGGGGAGTTGAAATGGTTCGCGACTGGGAGGTGCAGTTGTTTATTGCGAACCGAGCGTAGGTGTTCTGCAAAGCGGTCCCCGAGCATTTGCTTGGTTTCCCCGATGTAGAGGAAGCCACAGCGGATGCAGTATACCACATTGGCAGATGTGCAGGTGAACATCTGCTTGATGTGGAAAGTCTTCTTGGGGCCTGGGATGGGGGTGAGGGAGGAGGTATGGGGGCAGGTGTAGCACTTCCTGTGGTTGCAGGGAAAAGTGCCAGGTGTGGTGGAGCTGGAGAGGAGTGTGGAGCGGACAAGGGAGTCACGGAGAGAGTGGTCCCTCCAGAAAGCAGATATGGGTGAGGAGGGAAAGATGTCT